GTATATGTACAACGCTCACTACACTACACGACACGCACGCATATATATATATAAATATATATATATATATATATGTATATATATATATACTTACATACACACACACGCACACACACACATATATATATACTATTCAATTGAACTATTTTTTTTTGCATCTGTGTTGCTTCGTTGCAGTGCCAATGGTTGGCGGTAACTATATCAGTGTGAACTTTCTTGTAGATCAATTAGGCAATGGCCCGTTTCTTGTGGCGGGGCTGAGCGTGTCTTATCGGCATCCATGCCCAGATGTGTGACCTGTTGCAGTATTTTGGAGAGGTTTTCTCTCCAATCAAGTAAACTGTTTTGAAGTTATGACCCTTTGTGTCTATTCACCAGTGTATGGTAGACGCGTTGCGGTTGCAATTGTTTCTCTCATTTTCTGATTTGATCTAGCAGACATATTCCAATTCCACCAACTGAACCATGTATGTATCTCTGCCCGTCAACCGACAGAGAAGAGAGTCGGGCGAGGCGAAGAAAAGCACAGAGCTGCCACCCAACTCGCACTATATTCTCACACGTGAGGAATTAACCATGAATCAATTCCCCAGCTGGTATCCCGGCTGGACTGGTGAGATGTTAACGCCTGGAGCCATTTTGCCAGACATGAAGGGTTACCAAGGAACGCATAAGGTAGTGGGGGACGGGACATTGAGATAGTTTTAGTTTAGTATTAGTGCAGTATTAGATGTAAGAGTTCTTCAGCGTGGGTGTATGACAGGGGAGACGTATGTATCGAGAGAGTGTGCCGCTTGCGCCTCAACAGGGACCATTCTCCGACCAAAACAGAACTCGTTCCACACGTTCCCCATACACTTGGAATATACATATCCTGAGGTGAACGGCCACGTTGTAGTATACGATGTTATCTGTGACTGTGGATCATCGGCGGTCCTTCAGTCAAGGCCTTATGTATACTGTTTGTATACTCACACACGCACTATATGCTGAAATCACCATTACAGGATCATGTCCCGACCAAAGCGGAGCTTGTGCAGGATGGTGAAACACGCAACAAACGAATCGGCAGAGATGTGGATTTCGAAACTCCAGTAGTGGACGATGTAGAGCGCACATGCATACTGCCTGTGTTTTCCATCGATTGCGAGATGGTATGTCTGTCGTGTGCTCACGCGCCTGGTGTTTGTGAGTGGGCGTGGGCGAATATCTGTAATTATTGGGTTGCAAGTCCGTTTGTGTATGTATCTATACAATATATATATATATATGTATATATATGCAAATCTAAGTGTATGTGGGCGTGTGTTTGCATCGACTGCGTAGTAACCATTGGGCCACTCCTACGATCTGCGTCTCCACAGCACAACCACAGTGACATGAAATATATCTATACGACACTGGGTGTCATTTACACACCGATACTTCTCCGAAACTGTGCAGAGCCGTCTGATTTCGAGTTCGTCCCTGATATTTTTATTCCATTTCCTATTTGTTTGTCATGGCATCTTAATTCGAGGTGCGAAAAAAATTATAATGGGGTTATCAGAAAGCCCTTCGGGCCGAATCTGTGCTCAACATGGTGCTAAATCAACCGCTACTTCACACGGCCTATGTCCCGCGCAATGCTTCGTATTATCTCGAGCCAATTAATCTTATCTTCCATCGCTAACGTTCTTTACAGTGCGAGACTAAGAGCGGGCCGGCGTTGACGCGTGTGTCGATTGTCAACGAAGCCGCAGAAGTGGTCATGGACGAATTGGTCATGCCGGATGAGCCCATCACCAATTATTTGACACAGTATGTTCAATGTATGTGGAAATAAGCGCTGTATGTGACAGAATAAGCACTAGCTGTGGCAGATAATGGTGCGATCTATGAGTAATTAAGAGTGATTTACTGTGAAACAAGTCGACTCCTTGCAAGAATACCGAGCCGACGAATACTTGAATGTCTGAAAGAACTTGTGCAAATCAATTTATTATCCGTGCACGTGTACTTGACATACACACACGTGACTTCACTTGTATTTGGCCACAATTGCATGCGGACCTATTCATAAGGATTTGTAACCGCGCGTTCAATCAATACCAGTCAGGCACGTTGTGCTTTTTCTCCGCTCGTATACCCCTAGCCTAAAATAACTCATCTGTTCAAATGGCAAAACAGTGCTTTTGTATTGCTCATGAATCTGTTTGCAACGCTAGTAGGTAAATCATCATCAGTGTCTCCATGGTCATTTCACGGTGATATAGAGACCATTTTACTGTACGATTGAAAGGTAACTTCAGAACCTCGCAATAGAACTATAATATTGTACTTGCGCGTAGCTCCTAGTCCACCGATGCCGCACTGCTACGATGACCGTTGAGCAAGATTAGTTTGGTGTTAATTCAATTTCTATTTTTGGGGTCACTAAATCCACAGGTTTTCGGGAATGACTCGAGAATTGTTGAAGGGGGTGACAACGACTGTGCTGGATGTGCAGACCCGGATCCGGTCATTGATACCAGCTAATGCCATTCTGTTGGGCCACTCGCTCGAGAATGATTTGCGGGCCATGAAGGTATGCTGGAATCGTATTGATCATGTGTGTGCTAGTTTATAGGCACATATTGCACACACACACACACACACACACATATATATATATATGTTATATTATTATATACATTATTATATATCTACTCATACGAATACCTCACACGTACACCTGGCGCTTCGCGAAGGGAGTGTAAAAACGTCCACACACATACTCCAAATCCCTTATAATTTTTTTTTCATCTCATCACACACTCACAGTTAGTACACCGACGTGTGATCGACACATCGCTGCTGTACCCACACCCCGGAGGAAACGGCCTCAAACAGGGTCTCAAGACGCTATGTCGCACACACTTGGACCGAAGCATTCAGGAGGGTGTTGGAGGTCACGATAGTATTGAGGACGCACGGGCGTGTCTAGCGTTGTACGCGCTGAAAATGAAAAAGGGCCCGAGGTTCGGAATCAATACACGCACACAGGTGTCGGAGAGCATCTGCAGACGGTTGACCAGGAGTAAGAAGACCAGCGTGTTAATTGATAAGCTGGAGCTGATAAAGAAGCACACCGACGCGAACGTCATCAACCACAGGAACGATCAACAGGTTCGTCAGAGTCTAAGGAGGGTTCTTCATGAATTTAATCGGGGTTTTGTGTTATGTTGGTTGCAAGTGGGTGACAGGACAGAGCTACGCGCATTCATTGGGAAAGGAGAGTTACAAATACGATTCACACAAAGAATTAACCTCTGTTTTTATGGATCACTGCACGTATCAAACGCGCGCGCTGCGATGTTTACTTTATTAAGGTTGGTTTGTTTAGTTTGTTGTATATGCAACCTGAGTTGCGGGAACAATCACAACTCACATGAACTTGTTTTGACTGTGATGTACTGATGGTGACTTCACATGTTTTGCGTCTTTCTACCATATAGGCCGTTGCCGCGATGTTGAAGCAGTGTCAAAGAGACGTCAACTTTCACTATATCCGCTTGTTTGCGGTATCGGATTTTGTCAAATCGTTCCACACGGAGGAAACGAAGTTACTGGAGGCAACAAACTCAGTTACACGCAGGGAAATCAGTGCTATACCGACTACTAAAAATAGCACAGATATTGTATATCAGACAGAGTCTGTCGGTAGCATAGAAGAAGCAACACAAGGTACGCTAAACACGACGGAAGAGAGTACGGGTAAGGTTAAGACTGAAGTTCGTAACGGGACAACTGGTGAGCAAGCTATAGTAGACGATGCCAGTGAGTCCTCTCAAGAGATGACCAGTAAATGGACTGTGGAGGTATCGCCTGCGCTCCGTGAAGGTTCCATGTGCTTAACAAAAGAGGAGTACACGGAGCAGATGGAAGAGGTTTTGACGCAATTGGATGGTAGAATTGGCAAGCTCATAGCGGCCATGCCCAAGAATGCGGTGGTCAATGTTATTGCTGGCCCTGGAGTGCTACCAGAATCAGAGAAAGCGAATAAGCACCAGTTGTTCAGTGCGAGAAACGGTTTTATGTTTATGAAGGTGATCAGTGGAAATGGGGAGGCGGGTGCTCGTGAGCCCATGGAGGAAGATAAATAAGCCGAGAATAATGAAATAAATACCAAATTAAGACGCACTCGTCCGAGAAGAATGAAATAAAACGAAATTTAGACGTACTCGTCGGTATATATATATATATAATGTTTAGTGTATATTATATATATATATATATATACATAGTTATATAATANATA